ATAGGAAGTATCAGACCAAAGATGATGTAAATGATCCACTTTTGATATCTGAGTAAACAAGGCTTTTCATTGTGTGTTATTAACTCAGGATCTGTAAACTATCACTTCTAATATCAAAAATACTGTCACTTTGACCAGGCTTCGAGTAGAGACAGACCATTATTCGATTTTGTCGATCAACAGAAAATTAATCTGAAATTATTTTGATAATCAAGGAATCGCTGAAGACATTTTTCAAGGAAAAATACAAAATATTTCCTAGTTCCAGCTAATTAATTACAAGGATTTCCATTTGTATTATGTGACAGTAAACTGAATAATTTCAATCTCACTGGACACCGTGGATTTTTCACTATTTTCTGATATGTAATCATTTAGTTTTATCTGTCTATCTCTCTAGCACTTCATTATATTTGCATCAGTAATCCAGTGCAAGCTACTTTTACATTCATATCTATAATTTCATCCTTAAAAAGAACTGTCTAAATAAAGCCAAATTTAACATGACTTTAACCAGGCAAACCTTAAAATATGTTCCTCTACATTCCCTACTAAAATCATTTGTGCAATGTTCACCCACACCACACATTATTATTTGGAAACACATAACATTCTTTTTTGGCCAATAGTACAGAAATAGGAGGACGAGAATCTGTCTGCAGAGCTGAACTCAGCCTGAGGCCTGAAACATATTTGTGGACAGGTTTGTGAGTCGAGGCTCGTTGCTGCTCCTGCTGCTGCTGCTGTTCGCTGTGTGAAGCAGTGAGGCAGCCGCTCATTCATTTAGCAAACTGGGTGTTGTTTTCACTGGCATTCCTCAATCCTGTATTAGGGATTACATCAAGCCCTGAGCAGGAAGGAATTCCTGTCATCATGTGCTCAGCGAAGGCAGCGTCTGGCTCGCCACAAAGACACGAAGAGACACGGACACAGCTGTTTGGCAACTGAAAGCAGGTCAAGAGGCGTCTCTTTGTTTGTCTGTGGACATCACTTGTATCCATGTGTGTGTGTGTGTGTGTGTGTGTGTGTGTGTGTGTGTGTGTGTAAGGCAGGGGCAGACAAATAAACATTTAGTGTTGGTATCAGCGGGCATGTTGTGTCCAAACTTGCACCGGAGCATCACAAACATCTTACTTAGAAATATCTGGGTTTTTTCTTTGACATCGGATACGGTCAAAATGCTCCAACCACCAATCGAGGGTGGAATTTCCAGTTACACAACCAAAAAAATGCGTCACAAAATACAGCAAAAGCAGACATGGAGGGCCACAAATAGCCTCACTGCAGATTTCACCACTAAAGCTACACCAGACAGAGGACGTTCAGCCAACTGTAGGTTTTCCAAGCATCCCTCCTGACACCTCTCTGTCTCAATCATGACTCCCTCTCTTCCCTCATTTGCTAGCGACTGCAGACCGCTCTCTAGTATCCATGTTGTCCTGTCAGCAAAGCAGAGTCCACAGGCAGAGGACAGTATGGAATGGTCAGCCGGCTCAAAATAGCACTGCAGCGAGCAAACGCAAGTGATAGCGAGGGGGATTTTAGTTGTTGTCCCTTAGGAACACAAATACACACACGCACACACACAGGACGTTGCGTTATGTGGCGTTCATGTGAACCGAGAGACACACACAAATAGATGAGAGCTAAATCAAACTGAGCTTTTTGTTGCAAAATCATGAGTCATGGCAAGTCTATTCTTAGTTCGGGGGTGTTTGTGTTTGCCCAAGTTGTGTGCACTTAAAGTGATGCTGCACAAAAGGCTAGAGGAGTATCGAGGATCTGTTTGGGAACAAGCTTTGGGTCACTTTGGGCAGCGGAGTGTACACTCATCAATGCATCACAGTTATGTAAAGCTGAGGAAGGTGGGGCAGAACGCCTCGTAAAATCTTTAATTTAATATTTCAAAGCTTTATTCTTAAAGTTCTCATGGAAATTTATCCGATTCTATGAAGCAGTTGTTACTCAATCATTATTTCCTTCTTCTCTTATAGAGCTCCTGGCTGTTGGCATAAGACCACACCACCCCCCACCCCCCCCCAGGGGGCTTTCAGTGTGAGGCCTTCCAACAACCATCGCCATGAAGCTGGGCATGAAAGGTGTGAGAGTCCGGAGTGCCAGACTGGTGGCAAGGTGGGAAGTGCACGGCAAAGACCGGTCGGGATCGTGCCGGGGGAGGGGGAGAGAGAGGCAGGCGGAGGGACGGATCTGTCGGACGCGGGTGCTGTGGGTGTTTCTCTGGCAGTGTCTTAGCTGGTTGTTGTGAGGAGTGAGAACGAAGCAATCAGCAAGTATACTGCCGCAGAAATTCTTCGCAATAAGAGGCCCTGGGAATCGCAGCCGACACGGGGAGGAAAACGAGAGGAAGGAAAAACAACAAATCAGCATTGCAACAAACAAGGATGCTGCCGCTACTGTAAGTTTTTACATGTGTGCTCACACTGTAGAGATTAACCAGAGCTGAGGAGCTGAGACAGAATGAACTGAAGATAGATCAGCTGAGAGCATGGCCTTTGTGTGTACAGCCTCTACAATATTTACAATTGGATCAAAGCATCCGGCTTCTACTCTTTCTTTTGTAATTTTATGACGCTCTGCTGCCATCTTGTGACTGAAAGCGATCTCCCAGCATGCTTTTGTTCATCAAACACCACAGCAATTTGTAAAACCTACGTTGTATACATTTTTTTTCCCATTGAGACAAATTAAAAATGCCTTTCATTCACAAACTATGGCTCAGCTTACACCAAGACTTGTGATTTCTTATTTTTCAGTTGCGTTGGCATTTTGCTTTTGTTTCAAATCTATTTTTGCTTTCAGCATTTTCTCTGCTTGCTTGACACATAAATAGTGAATACGGTTCATTTCTAATTTATAAGTTCCAGCCTAAATTTTTTTCATCATGAATTAAAACTGTAAAAAATTTAATAAAGAGAGCAAATAAAAGTTACTTAAGGACTGATTCATTCATTTGCTTTGTTTGTTTTCTCAGTACACATGCGTTTTGTAATTATGGAGTCTGGAGAAAACTTGTGTTGTACCACTTTGCGCTGTGTAAAACCTTTGTGAGACCCTTGAAAAAATGACGTTGCTATGCAAACACAGTACACCTAATGAGTGCTGATGAGCCAGAATGGCCTGGATACCAGGTGCACACACTAATTCAGGTTTTCATATACACACACACACATACAGACACACACACACACACGCACACACAGCAAACGCAGATACAGCTGAATGTATGGTGTGCTCCTGATTTAAGATCCGAAAAGAAAAAAACGTATATTCTCGACACAATCTTGTTGATTTATTGTTAATACTTGACGTAATCGTGTATTGTAAAATTGAATGTTGGTGATGGATGATTCGGACGGTAAATGCAGATGTGTCTGCAGCAGGCTGCTGGAAAACGACCAGCGTGCCACTGCATTGCTGTAAACACAATAAAGGGGTTGCAGTTTTTCTGAGCTGCAGCAATGCAGAAGCGGTAAAGTCCTGCTCTCACACAAGGTCACCGCTTCATGGCTTTAAATCTTCCTACTCCTCAGCTCCGCGGTAAACCAAGCACTCACAAAGACACCGAGGAATTAACAGCAACTCTACACAAAGCACGGCAGACAATCCTCATTACTCAAAAATGTCACAACAATTAAATACTTTATTACGGCCTGTGGGCCCAACGAACTGATTGATAACGAGAAAATGTACTTTGATGCAAAATGTAACCATCAGCTGAAATTTTTAATTAAATGTGTGTTTTCCATTTAAAAATGGCTTTATTACCCGAGAATGCTGAGGGTGACTATCTCAGTCCTACAATGGAGAGCTCACATGCTGGCTGGGTGATGCAGTGTGTTACTGTGACCTGCTTTTTAAAATTGAAATATGTTCTAGTGTTTTCCAACTGTTTGAATCTGATGTTTCATGTGAGCTGGGGAATATAATAAGCTCAGTTGAAAACCTTAATGTTAACAATACTTTAAATTACTTAGTGCTGAAATGATAAGTCAATTCATTCAGGTTTAACTGGCAACCATTTAATAGTTGATTAACCATGATTAAGCTTCCAGGTCACAAACTGGAGGACTTGCCACTTTCTCTGATTTATATAACAGTGGATTTTACACCTTGGGATCTGGAGTACTGGTTGGACAAAACAAGCAGATTTTACCTTTGGCTCTGAGAAATATTAAAGGCTGCCTTTCGCTTTTTTGTGACGTTTTATTGACCAAACAATTATTCAACTAATCATAAATAATGAAATTAAATTTTTTTAAATTATTGAAATATATGTTAGTTGCAGTCCTAATGATATTTTGGTGAGGAATAAAACTCAAAAGTCTAGTTTACAGCATTACAGCTGACATTTCTGCTGTCGCTACAATTTTAGATCCTTGTGTCAAATGCACTTTGTACTCATTTATTACCCTGTCTTACTTTAAAGCTTGTATGTACTCTCTGATTCTCTTTGTGTTGTGATGATTTTTAACCCTTGTTGTTATTTCTTTTACTTTTCTATTTGATAATCTTGCATTTTGTAAAGTACTTCATTACCCTGTACATAAAGAAACTGTATTGTTATTATTTCTATTGCCAAGATTGAAAAAGGAATGGGCCACATTTCATTAAAATATAATAATAATAATAATAATAATAATAATAATAATAATAATAATAATAATAATAATAATAATAGTAGTAATAATAAACATTAGATGTATTGTATACTTCCCTGCTAAATGTACATGCTTGAAATGAGAGGTGACATAACAGGGTCATTTCTTATATACACACCATGTCTGGAATGGGAAAGTTTTTTTAACATGATGTCATCTGTTCCTATTTGACAAGCTCTAATGCAACAGCTTCACTAAGGTCACACCAGTAAACATCATTAGAGCCAAGAATAGTCCCATATGAGTCTCTCCTACCAGCTGACTGTGACTTCTGCTTTGGGTTCCGGGTTGTCACGGGGAGGGAGGGGTTAAATCCGGAGAGAAAACTTTTGTTTGGCCGCCTTAAAGCAGAGAAGTGAGTTTAAGTCATAAGGCTGGACCCGAATTTTTCAGTGTCGCCTGGTTTTAAAGGGAAACAGCGCGGACACACCGCGGTAGGCTAATATTAACATGTGCAACAACAACGTGGTGGACTAGTCTGTTGGCAAACACCGTAGCACGATTGACACGAGATGATCTTATCGATGAGCTGACAGCGGTTCTACTAATCACAGCAAACGATGGCGAGCGGAAATCACACGGTTGTTTACTTGTCTGAGCAGGTGGTCGTTTTGTTTTCGTGCGCGCTCTCGTTTGTGGGCTCGTCCCTGATCATCCTCACCTACATTATCTGGTCCGACTTGAGGACCACTCCGAGGAGACTCCTGGTCTACCTCTCGGTGTCAGACTGGCTCTCCGCCGTCTCCTACGCCTTCGGAGTCTGGAGCGTTTTCCAGACCGACTCGGTGGATTGCATCGTTCAAGGAGCAGTATCCACCTTCGCGAACACCAGCTCTTTCTTCTGGACCGTGGCCATAGCCATTTACCTGTACGTTTTCATCGTGAGGTCCAGTCAGAGAGTCGCCGACAGCCTGGAGCTGATTTTCCACCTGGTCAGGTAAGTAGACGTGGGGTGGTCGTACTTCTCTTTGTGGCTGCACCTGTGGTGAAGACGGTTTGATGGATTTAAATCTCAATAATTAATGAGTGAGGTCATCAATCCGCACCAGATGTTTTGTTCATCACATAAAGTTTTACTGATGCTGCGCAGGTGATACTTTTACCTCACGCGCTGGTGTTGTAGCATATGGAACTTTGAAGCTGAAGGTAAACAAGGGAAATGACTCACTGAAGTTAGGGACCGTCTCTAAAGTGTCTGCAGCGTGGACAACAGGATTTATACAATTTTCCCAACACTTTTCTCATGTTGATTTCTACGGAAGAGGATTAGGGCCACATGTGAATTAATTTTTTTAGAATTCTAGTTTAATCTCAGAATTCAGATTGAAATCAGAAGATAGATAGATAGATAGATAGATAGATAGATCATTTATCCCCTAAGGGAAATTCAGGTGTCCAGCAGCTCATTAGTAATAATAATAGGTAATAATAAATAATAAACAATAATAGCCACATTAGTCCAGTTGATGAGCCACTTCGTTTGGCTGTGCTGTTGTACAGCCTTTCTTCTCACAATTCTGAGATTAAAGTCAGAATTAAAAACAAATGTGGCCCTAATCCTCTTCCCTATAGCTGTATTTCACACCAACTTCATCTTTATCTTGGAGTCCCCTCACTTGTATGAACATTACCTAGTTTTTTAGATTCAAAATCATGCACTATGGACTAATAAACTGTTTTCATCTGTCATATTTGGTCTGAACCACTTCAAAACCGTTTTGTTTTGCTCAACTTTAAGTTTTTTCAGAGCCATGCTCAGAGTCCTTCTGACATAGTGTTTGTAGTTCAATTATTGGACAATTGGAGAATCTTTTCCCTCAGAGTCCTGTTAATGCCGTTTGGCTAACTCTCATAAAGGACTGATTGATGGAGAGCTGCTGAGATGCTCGTCCTTCCTGCAGGTTCTCTCATATTTGCAGGGGACTTCTGAGGCCCTGTTAGAGGGACCTTTGGGTTCTCGGTCACCTCTCTGAACAAGGCCCTTCCTGCCTGGTTTATCAGGTTTTCCATTTGACAATTTATTGAAGCCTGTGCTCCTGGGAACACTCAGAGCTTTACAAATGATTTTATACACCCTCACCCCGATCTGTGTTTAATAAACTAGCACAAGTTAGCTCATACTGGAGATGACTGCAATTGACGTATAAATACAGAAAGATTATGTAACATTTATTTCACCGTCACATTTTCATTTTCATCATTTTTGCTCTTTCATTTGTTCCACAGCCGGGGGATTCTTGAGAGCATCCCGTCAAGACTCAGTCACACTGTTACCTTCAGGGAAAACAAGTTTTTAATATTAAGAATATATATTCATCTTTAGTTTAAACAGATTGAATATTCACTGTAATTATGCCTGATGCTTCATACATAGTTAGGCAGAATTTTATTGGAGTTATGACATATTTCATTATTTTTAATCAATTAATCTCTCAATACTGATGAGCTGACGGATTATATCATGCATGTGTTTTAGATTCAATTTTTATTACGTACACCAAACACAAAAAAAGTTAAAAATCACAGCGACAGAACTCGTTTGGGTGGCGTTTCTCAGGATAAACACCTGACCAAACGTGGTTGAACAAACACATATTACAAGGCTGTTAAAGGGGTTCGCAAGCCGCTTGTTTTTATTGTAAGCTAGACTTTAATTTTGAAGCTCTGAATCGGCGCACGTGTTTGATCCTTTGTGCTGGTTTTCCTCCTGCACATTAATGAGCTGTCCATGTTGATTGTGAGGATGTAAGGAGGGAGTTGATTCACTGTGGTGTAGCGCTGTATAATTGATCTATTTTTGGACACGGAACATTTTCACCCCTGGGTGCGCCTCACCACGGTGTCTGTGGTTGTCGTTCTCATTTTGTTTTTCGTGAATTCTCAGATGCTCAATTGAAATGAAGCTCACACAGCAGAGCCATTCATAGAGACTCGTGCACACGCACAAACGAACGCACACACACACACACACACACAACAAGGCATCCAGCATAGGGGTATTTATAATGATCTGCCATGTATTGCCATGAAAAGATGTAGAAAGATGAAAGAAGTGTTATTTCAAATGGGTGCTGCGAGTAGAGAGGTGCTGCTTCAGGGTGAACACAGCTTCTTAAAGTGCTGAAATCTGTTATTTTTATAACTGACCCTGCAGCTCGTACTATGTAACACACAAAAGCCTTAAGCGCAGGATAATCTATCACATGGTGTCACATGTCGTTGCAATATTTGTGGTTGTTGAACCCACCAAACATTTGCATACGAACTGTGTGTTTAAAAATAGAAAGTTGACCTTTTGAGGACTTTTGTGTTCAGTCCTCTAAACCCTGTGTTTTTGTCCAGCTGGGGTGTTCCTCTGATCATCACTGTTGCAGCCGTGTCCCTAAACAAGATTGGCTACGACGCATCAGAGGTGTCCGTGGGCTGGTGCTGGGTCAGGATCCACACTCCTGACCGGGTCCTGTGGATGCTGCTGACCGGAAAGATCTGGGAGTTCCTGGCTTACCTCACCCTGCCCGTCCTCTACATCCTGATCAAGAGGCACATCCACATCGCGGTGAGGACTGAACCCCAGAGTAAAATTACTGCTAGCTCTTAAGACACCAGGTGCAATCTGCATCAGCAGCAGAATCATGTACATATTTTATTTTGATCCCTCCATGTTTAATTTTTCTCATGTACATCTTTTGTTTCCCCACCCACACAAGCACATTTCCAGGACTGAAGAAACTTCAATTTCATTCTCTGTATTTAATAAACAATATTAGATACATAAATATTTGACACATCCCACAGCCATAGCTACACAACCCTCCTACACATTTTTTAGGTTTCAGAACACAGAAATAAAAAAAACTTTTTAAAATGAAGCTAACAAAGAGCACAGAAAAAAAAGTTGCAGTTACTTGTTTTAATTTTCTATTTTTCATTTCTCTATCATACAGCTACAGGTCTGCCTCAAATAGATACCATGTTGTGAGAAGATTGTCCATTATCCTCAATGACACATCTCATTCTTTTCATTTTCCTTCTTATTTGTGTTTTTACATCATGTTTTCATCCTTTTTATAAGATTTGATTTTGATCATGAACTCTGGTCTGATGCAGCATGCTGCCCTGTCCGAGTACCGTCCCATTTTGGCCCACAGGCCTCCAGCCCACTCCTTCTCCTCCATGGCTGATAGGAAGCTAACACTTATTCCTGTCATCTTTATCGTCCTGCGCATTTGGAGCACAGTGCGCTTCATACTGCTGCTAGCGGGCTCTCCAGCCAGACAGAGCCCAGTGCTGGTCACCCTGCATGTGAGTGCACATAGAGGTTCTTTTGAAGCAATGACGACCAGTTTTGATGATGTGTGTCAACTCTTCTGCAGTTTACTTTTCCTGTTACTGCAGCTTCTTCCTGCAGCTTTTGTTTGTTTATGAGTCGTTTTGTGTGTATGAAGCTCATAAGTGTGAGTGTACATGTGCACTGTCATTAGTTTATGTTGTTAAAGTAAGGATGTTGTGAAACTTTTACATCTGACCAGTAGCACAATAGCTTTTTTAAAATGCAGAAACTGCCCCTCTAAATGGGTTTAAAAAACATTATGATGTAATAATTTCCCAGACAGTTTATTACATTTTATTGTTACTTTAAGTATGTGTAAAATATTTTTATTTGTTGATATAATATATAACAATTCTTAAGGAAATATGTTTTGTTTGTTAATAAAAACAAATATTGTAGTAAAATGCAAGTATTCAATATCTCATCATCATTAATAATCAATAATCAATCCATGAAGGGACATATTATTCCAATGTAACAATCCATCTCTGCTACTCCACTCTCAAAGACTTCTGTTTGCACTCTACAGGGAATTGGCAACACCTCGCAGGGAGCAGCCAACTGCATCATGTTTGTGTTGTTCACTCAGCCGCTCCGCTCACGCCTGTGCACCACGCTCTGCTGCTGCCGCTCCAAGTGTCGAGCAGAGGTGCAGCACTCGCACGACACCCGTCACAGGCTGCTGCCGGGACAGGACGCGTCCACACTGAGAGAGGAAGACAGCACCAGCCGAGCCGGGACTGACAGATGATACTTGAGAGAAGGGAGACAAAGGCTGACATTAAGGGAGCGATGGTGGTTTGGCCTCTCAAGCGCTGGTGCATGCTCATGTTTGTCACAGGAGAAGTCACATGCCTGCACTTTGGGCGATGAGGATGATGCCGCCTGATTGTACGCCAGCATTTGGTCAAGCATTTTGAATGTGACATAAACTGCACATACAGATCAATTTCGTACTGTGGTTTTATAGATGTGCTGTATATGAAACCTTTGAAGTGCCATTTCACTTTAAGTCGATCTTTGTACATGTTTTGAAACATGGTCACATGGCCAAACACAGCTGCAGTTATGTTCATGTTTTTACAGTCAAGTAACATATTTAAAATGTGTTTTGATTTTTAGAAAGATTATCACTTTAATATATTCTGCTATTTAACTTTAAAAAATTTTCAGTGTATATCCAATATGACTTTGGGTGTGTTTATAAGTTTTGCAAGGAACCTGCTTCCATCTGACCATCTCTTGAAATATAGTCAATCAAAAGATGACATGGGCACAGTTTTCTGTCTGTTCAGTTCACTTAAATACATACACCAGAGTTGCATTAAAATATACAACATTCTAGTAGAATTTGTCTGTTATCTCCTTCTTGCCTAATGGGGTTTTTTTTTGCAGTAATTGCAAAAGCCCATAATCATTTGACTCATCACCAAAATGAACTCAGCATCATTACTGTCATTGTGGTCAGGAGGATGCATGAACTATCATCACATGCCATCCTTCCTCCTTGCAACCCGAGCCTGTCGCATGAGCCTCACTTCTCTTTTGACCCCTGCTGTTTTTGGCTCCCGCTCGCCGGACTTGGCTACAGGCTGAATGCATACCAACAAGGAGCTAATGAACCCACTGAACCTCACGGGGCTCATCTTGGGCCCGACCAGCCTAATTACCATAACGCCACTTCCTATAGTTCCTTCAGGTCTTTTAAATATTGTCTCAAGATCCACTGAGTTTTAATGAGCCTGTCCCTGAGACGATGAGCTACATTGAAATAAAATTCATTACTGTGGTGATTGTTGCCAAAGGTGAGGAAGGAGAAATTTCACCATGTTGACAGTCAATTTTCTCTTTTCCTCAAGTGATTATTGTTTGTTTGACTCAGAGGGCAACAGCTTATTTAGTTAGTCTTGTGTTGGTGGCATCATGGTGAGTGGATTTATGGTTATTGAATGGTCCCTGTTGAATTAGTCAATGCAAAGTGGATGGTATTGTTGTAACATTCCTTTATAAGATGTCAGGCAGACTTTTCATTACACTGCAACAACACCAAGGAGGGATTACTGAATGAGCCTACCAAGTACGTTTAGTAAGCAAGTAAGACCAAGAGGCCAAGAGGCCCCTGACCCAAAGCCTCTGTTTGAAGTGACTTAACATTTCTTGCAGAAAAAAAATTACTTGAGCAACTACAAAGGCATAAAACCACCAGACAGAGGTGCAAAATGGCCAAAAAAGGGAAACTGCAAATGGGCCATAATGACCATGAAGAGATGCAAAACGGCCACTAATTGACACAGAACAACAACAAACACACAAAATGACTTTTTAGAGAGTTTCTAGTCATGCCTCTTACGTAGGAGGCGGGGGACATTTTATATGTCTCTCAGTCCGTCCATGAGCAACTCTGTACTCTTATGAAGGCAGTCAGCTCCCATATATCATTTCCAGAACATGGGGACTTTTACTGTTTATACTGAAAATATTAAAAGCATAAGTACACAGTTTTCTTTGAGATAAAGAGTTTTCCTTCAGTCTAATTTTACCTCTGGTCTAAAGTAATGGCACACAGAGTAGAGTTCAGTCTCTCAGCACCATCAGTAACAGTGACAGAACCCCAGATACCATGTCTGGGAAAATTGAGGAAGTGGGTCCTGTTTATGCTGATGACATCAAAAACAGCCAGTGAACAGTTTTGTGTCCTTGATGCGGGTAGAAGTCTCTCATAGGAATTAATCCATTGTGTCGGTTCTGAGATTTGGCTGACATTGTAGTAACTGGAGCCGATAGAAACACTTAAGGGGTTTCTGTTCTCTCCTCTGCTGGCTCTCTGCCCACTTAATTCATTAAGTTAAAGAGTACCACAGGACTGTACTATAGTGCAGGAGGTGACCATTCACCAGTCAAGTCAATGGACGACATTTTTTTAACAACACAGGCTGTTCATTTGGCTGAATCAGTGCTTCTAGGAGCCAATTCTCAAACACATTGCCCCTAATAGGCAATGGGTCAGAGCTGCAGTAGGATATTTAGATTATAAGTGACAGGACCGTTTTTACACATGTAACAGAAAAAACATCAGAAGCACTACAAGCAATAAGAAAGAGGTTTCTGGTTGGTTTCCAGGGTTGTTCAGTTTGTGAATACGTTGGCAGGAAGCTATTACAGTTAGAGTGAAACTGCACTTTGCGCTTGCACTTTAAATGTGACATGTCTTCCTTATTCTCCTTCATTGAATGGTGAGATGCTAACACCAACCACGACCTTAGCTCCATCTGCTGTTTGCTGGCAATAATGCAACAACTGCACATATTCTACTTGAGGTCCTTTATTACATGAGCTAAACAGGCCTGGCCTTTAATGGGGCCCTAAGCCAACTTTGATGATGGGGGGGGGGGCTATTGTCAGTTTGTCAATACTTGATCATTCGGACACCTACTGTTAATCAAACGCACCCATTATCAAATGCATTAGTGGGAACACTAAACCGGTAGTGTTAGTTGTATAAAGCCTGTTGGCAATTAAGTTGTGGTAACATGTTGTAACATTGTTGGAAACTATAGGCACTAGAGTTTGACAAGGAAAAGTATGTGTGCAATAGAAAAAGATGATACATTTTTTAAACTGTCCATCGTGAGTCCAACAAAAGCAGAGCAAAGCTAAACCGATGGAATACTCTTTTAATATCCCCTCACGGTGGATGGTGATCCACCAATTTCCCTCTAGTGTCATAATGAAGTCAAAATTAACACGGTGAGCATGGTTAACACTATACCTGCTTACCATTAGCATGTTAGCATTGTCATGAAGAGTATTTTAGGATGCTGACGTTAGCATTTAGCTCAAAGCGCTCACACAGACTTTGAGTCTTGTTAAATAATTAAAGTGAAACTGCACTTTTCACTTGCTCTTTACATGCGACATGTTTTTCTTCTCCTTCTTTGAATGGTGAGATGTGACCACTAACAACAACATTAGCTCCACCAGCCCTTTACTTCCTGACATTTTATTTAAAGATCCCATCACATAAACCAAAAACAAGGGGGGGAAAGGAAATCTATTGACACAATGGAGAAGGCCACCAGGTCGAAAACAACTCAGAATTTAAATTCATTCATGCGTCCCAGTTTACACTGTAATAATATCTGTCTCTGAATGAACATCATCCTTTGATGGCAGACGTCCCAGTTCCATTCTGGATGCTTTCCCATGAGATGCAACATTTATTGGATTCATTTTAGTATGACCCCGTCTCAGTGTTTTTTCATTGTAGGTGTGTGGCGTGATATTCTGTGCAAGAAGGAAAGAATGTGGTAATCTAAATGTGACTTTACATGCATTATCCTATTGAGGGATTCTGCAGATTGGCTCTGTCATTTGGCCCAAAATTCATGTTATGAGGTCTCACTCCTCTGAATAGCTGATGTTAATTTTTCTGCTAAATTTAGTAAAAACTGTCCCAGCAAGAAATTCAACAAAACACTGCCAGTTGGAATTTCAATGTCTTTTGTACCATGTGTATTCAACTGGAATTTTTGGCATATTTTTAAATCTAAAACTACACTTCTTAGGTTTAGGTTTACTCCAGTAGCTATATTTCAGAATACAACATATCACATTTTGTCAGGGACTGAACAATAAAGTCAAAGACTCATTTCCATCATTGTCCCTGCTGTTTTCAGCCCAACAGCCTTTGTACCAGATGGGCACAGGAGTTCTCTCTCACCTCAAATCAGACACTGTAACTCTTTCACTTCCTTTAAATCTCTTCTTTAAACGCATTTCTAATAATGTCCGATTTGTGTTTTATTTATATTGTGTTATCCCTTGTTATTGTTTTTACATATTTTATTACTGTTAGCTCTTTCTGCATAATGTTGATTTGAGATGTTTTTTATTATGCTGTTGTTGTACAGTTTTTATGATGCTCACTTTAGATTTTCCTTTGGTCTGGTTTTACTTTTCTTTTAAAGCACTTTGTGACGAATACTGTTACATAAATAATACGTTATAATAATAATAATAATAATCATTATTATTATTATTCACTGTCTTTCATGAAGAAATAATATACAAAAAAATACAATTATTATATGCACCAAGCATAGACTACTGAATCAAGTTTGAATGAAATATTCAACTCTTACTTAACACTGCATCTTTTCTGGCGTTTTGCTCTGAGCATACATAGCTATGACTTGTAGTTATTCCACCAGCTTTATCTGCTCACAGACATACTGTATTTGTTAGCCTAGTTTTAACAGTGAGGCGTCCTCTGAGCCAATAACAACCAGTTTTAAGAACAAACAGCCTGAGGGCCGTCGAATTGACAAACAGACTCAGCTTTAGAGATAAGAGGCAAAGCAGCACATGACAAATCGAAGACAAAAGCAAACATAAGAAGAGATTCGCAGCTGTGGCGTTTCTGCAGAAAATTAGTCTATTCCATAATCAGCTTGAGATGACTTGTCTTCAGCCTGAGAAACGATAAATCCTTCAAATTACACAAGGATCAACACTGAGGGCTTTGCCAGCTGTTTGTGATTTCAGCGTTGTGTCGTCAGTTTGTAATAAAACCTGTTGTGTAATCCAGCCTGTCGGTGGATAAGCAATGAAGATGCTCATCTGACTTTATCACTCTGATGATAATATAACTCCAGCCTCTAATGACAGCTGTAGATCTCATCAATTGAACCAACTGAGTGGAAAGTGCAGTGCAATAAAAGCACCACACATCAATATTCAGCCCAAGGCAGCATTTAATATCTGGAGTGCAACTGCATACAAAACTTCCTGAACAGTCAGCAACATAAAAACGATAACTTAAGCCAAGCTGTAAACCACTGCTATGCTCTCTGATCTCGTGTCCAAAGGGCAGGCAGGATCCAGTGGTGCAGTAATAACAAAGTGTGCTGTTATTATTGCTGAAAGTGACGGCAAGTCCAGGCACAGCCATGGCAGTGAATGAGGACTGGGGAAAGCCTGTGGAGAGGAGAGGGGTGAGTTACAATCCAGGTGTGATTATCACCACCATCACATTTCAAGTCTTGTTTTGTCTGTTCAGAGTAAGAACAGTGAGAAGCGGTTTCACTGATGTTCCCTGACAGAGACTAACTGCAGTCCTGGCACTGGCAACACTCATATCTGCGTTTGGGTCATCCTTCCAGTATGGATATAATGTGGCTGTGATCAACTCTCCATCACCGGTAACCTGAGCAAAGAAACACAAGCTTTACTGTAATAAGGCCAGTGTCAGTGATGGAATGATGTTTTTTTTATCAGTATTATTCTGCTCTCTGTAGTTCATGCAGCAGTTCTATAACA